GTGTGTGTGTGTGTGTGTGTGTGTGTGAGTGTGTGTGTGTGTGTGTGTGTGTGTGAGTGAGTGTGTGTGTGTGTGTGTGTGTGAGACTGATAAATGGGTCATTCCTATTCTGCAGAAACTCTGTAACATTTGAAAACTTGAATATAAATAAGCATTTCTATAAAAGTGTATAGCAGATGCTCAGAAATAATACAACAGTTAGTTTACACGAAGACATCAACTTGAAGTTTGTTTTCATAATTTAATCATCTTTTGAAATGTTGATATTATTAAACTGATTTGTGACCAAAGAGGATGAATGTTTTATAGTGAAACAAACCAACTAACATCACAAAGATTCACTAAAATCCATTGATCCTGCTGTCAAAAATATGTTCTAAGAACATTTTGCTAAGGCTCCCATTAAGTTATGAAAACATTATTTGTGAATGTTCTCTCAATGTTCAAAACACCCAGTTTTTAAAAATGTTTTAGAAAGTTTGTTATGCATTGTTAAGGAACGTTCCATTGTATCACTTTGCAAACATTTTGGGAATGTTGCTTTTGAATGTTCTCTGAACGTTCCGAAACAAGTAACATTGAAAAACAAGACAAATGTCTAAGATGTTTAAAAAATTCCCTGAACATTGCATCAATGTATTTGTGCAAACATTTTGAGAACATTATTAAAGACAATGAACATTCTATTGACATTACTGGAAAAACATCGAGAAAATCTTGCTACAACGTTCTGAGAATGTTCCCACCAAAATGATGTCACTTCCTGGAGGATTCTGTCATTAAATCCACATCCACTCAAACCAATGTAGTGAAATAATTTAAAATGAAGCCCTACATTGTGTTCACTTCAAGATATTATGAAAAAGAAATGAAGGGAGCATTAAAAACATTCTTCATAATAGGGCTGACCCAATCGCACTGACACGGCTGGTAAAACCCATTTGGCAATTGCTGGTTTCAAATGAACGTCACGGCGTTCGTTTTCTCTTTCGTTCCGCACCGTCTTCAAGGCCAGGCAGGTCTTTCATTAGTAAAGCATTGAGATAAATGATCATTGTGCGCCGCTGAACTCTCAAGTGACATTTGTGTAGAAATGATTTCTGCTGGTAGATTCACATCCTGACATGCATCAGAAGTCAGAGGAAGGCGGCTGTCGGCTTTGATTATGTCCACAGCCTTTAAAAGCATGCAGCATACAACCTGAAGGAGACACCGTGTCATGCACGCTACTTTGTTGTCTGGTCTGCGGTCAGGAGTGGATGTCAGGAACAGATGTGTTTGTAGACGTGTGTGATGAATGTTGATGTCAGAGAGAGGCTTTACTGTCACTGTCAAAACATCACAATGTGCAGAACCTTTCAGCTCGATTTATTTCTACCTCATCTGACCCTTAAAAATGAGTTTTTGTTGTAACCTAGTGTACTGTAACTTGCATGTTGATTCAGTCATGTTAAATAATATTTTTTGGCTTGAACAAAAGCTGTTCATTTAGATGTTGCACATTATTATTTAAGTGCATTTTTTGAAGTAAATAAAACTAAATGAAATAGTTAAATTTTCCCCTTGGAAAATGCTGATTAATTAAACCTCAGATGCAACAATATCAAGAGTCAAGAGTCAAATAGATTCAATGTAAGAAAAAAAACTGTGAAAATTAATATTGCCCATGGCTATATTCAAATATATATTATATTTCAAATATAAATTTCATTAAATTTCAAATATGTATTTTCTACCAATATATTTTTGTATATCATTGAAAATATATATTTATAATATTTATATAATAATATTTCATAATTTGTATATTTAATGAAATTTTGCCCTCCGCATATTTCAATCCAAGAAAATACATTCATGTCACATTTTAAGAAAAACATAATTAGTTTTCTATAAGGTGTGAACATACAACACATTTAAATAAAACTTAGCTATTAGGAACATGCTTTACAATGTTCCAAAAACAATACAATATTACAAAATATATAAATTGAAAATATATTGATTGAAAATGTATTTTCTTGCCCTGGAAATACATTTTGAAACATACTTTGGTACATGAAGGTTGAAACTATATATCAATTAAAAAATACATTTCATTAAGTTTCATTGTTTGCCATATATATTTGGAATATATTTTGGCTATATATATATATATATATATATATTTTTTTTTTTTCGCCATATGCAAAAAAACTAATTATATTGCTGCAAGTCTACTAAAGCTGAAATCAGAGACCCTATTTAAAGAGAATTTAGTGGCTTCTAGCTAAAAGCC